AAATCCTATGAAAGTATTATAAGTGGCCTTTATTTTTTATGTCATCCAACCAATGTTCACCATTTTTATATCATTCAAGTGAAATGTACCATGGAGACAGTGACAATATATTGTGGATATTGCTAGGAGTCTTTGTCTTTTTCATTGATTTGTGTGTGATCGCTTTCCCCTTGTATCTCGTGGAAATGCTTGAAATATTCATCTATTCCATCTCCAAAATTTCCCCTTTAATCTGTCTATGTACTTGTAAATTTATTAGCTTTTCCCTCTCAAATTGTTTGAATGGTGCGATTGATCAATCATGCTATATGCTGAACCTGAGAAATGAGATGCTTGATTAGGTGAATCCATTTGAAAACACCTTTTCCTTGTATATACAGGTGAATTTAATGATATTCTGGAAACTAGCAGCAGCTCCAAATCTCTTGCTGATACGCTGGAAAGGATATGTATTTCTTACAAAAATGTTCAGAGTTCATCTGTACTGGATTCCAATGGATCCACACCCCCAGATAAATGCGAAACATTACTGGAAATAGAAAACTTGACTCTGAAAACACCCAGCAAAGCTGTTCTTGTTAGAGATTTGTCATTGACAATCAAGGGAAAGGATCATTTATTGGTAAGCAGTTCGTTTAAATCTCACACCCAAGTTAATAATTTGGCATTGCCATGTTGGTGAGGATGTTAAAATGAACTTGCAATATAATGAATTCAACAGATAATGGGGCCTAGTGGCAGTGGTAAAACTTCTTTGCTAAGAGGTCTGGCTGGTCTATGGAATACTGGAACTGGAAAAATCACATACTATGTGAAAGATGAGGAAGAGCTGCAGCAGTCCAATTCCTTAGATGTAAATACTCCCACAGTAAATAAGGACTCTGATGCATACGAAGAACATGGAAAATCCTTGAGCAGAATTTCTGGAGCTTTTTTTCTTCCTCAAAGGCCATATATGGTTTTGGGTTCTCTTCGTCAGCAATTACTTTATCCAACATGGGCTGATGATGTTGTACCTGCATTGGATAATACTAAAGCAAGAAGTATGCCATATCTAATTTCTTTTCCTGCACCATCTCAATATGCTATTATTTTCTCCTACGCTTGCTGCTTAATTTTGTTTTCTTATTCTGATGCGCATTTGTTTCTTTTTTCTGTGTTATGTCTAATTTCCATTTGATCTACTGCAATTATTGAGACAAATAATAGTTTGTTCTTCTAAAGTATTGCTTCCATCATAATTATAGTATGTGCTTCTAACATGGTGAATGCCGAATGAGATCCTCTATGGTCATGTAATTTTGCATTTGGAGAGAGGATAATATAGAACAGCATAACCATTTGATGTCTACTCTTTATACTCATTTTTTTCTTTCTAAATGTACCCTATGACGTCATTTTTGTGACTACGGAGGATTCAAATTGAGTGAATACTTAAATCATATCAAGGGACTATAGGTATGCCAAGAGCACCATATATGCTCGTGTAGTTGTTTGTAGGATGCTTTGTAATGATTCAATGTAAAGGGGGAAATTCTGTTCTTAAGGAAATGTTTAGTTAAAAAGAATCTTTTTAAATTGGAAACATGTAAATTTTGATTCAAAGCTTTGTTCTTTTGGTGGTAAAACTGAATTTTTTGTTCGACCTTGGTCAAGTCAGCTGTACCAACATAACTTATATCCAAAGCATACTAAACCAGCATGTACGTATAAATGCACTGAGAATGGTAAACTCTGGTCAATGAATTAAGATTGCAAGGACAAATCCATGATCTGTCTTTTTCTTCTGAGTATTGCTGTACCAAATTTTTAGTCATTTAAAAAATTCAACTTGTATCATATGATTAGGAGATTACTGAGTGAATCTATTTTCACTTGTTCTGCAGCTATATTGCCTTTCTTGATGAAATCACCAAACTCAGATAACAAGATTGAAAAGCCTGAAATGCCAACACCAGATGAGCTTATAAAGGTCTTAGAGGATGTCCGTCTAGGTTATTTATTGGCTCGGTTTAACTGGGATTCAATACAGGAATGGTCTAGTGTTCTCTCTCTAGGAGAGCAGCAACGCCTGGCTTTTGCCCGTCTTTTGCTTTCAACACCAAAATTGGTTCTGTTGGATGAATCTACAAGTGCACTTGATGAAGCCAATGAGGTATATTATCAATTCCCAGTTTAGCTTACACCTTCTTTTTTTTTTGGGCCTGAGACACACGCACAATGAAGGGTATGCTCTTCAATTGTGGGCTATAATTCTTCAAGCAAGGATTTATTATTTTCACACAACTTAAGCATTCAACCATTGAAGACTTGTCTAGATAATCCCCTCTATTCTTGTGTGCATAATGAGTACCTCCTTTGGACTTTTATCATGGACAAAGCACAGACCTGCCATGCTTTGATCTGAAACTAAAAATTAAGCAAACGATTCCAGCAAAGCGTGGGGCCTCAAACTGTTACAAGTTTGAGCTATTAAGTGAATCCTGGGGCATAATGTATTACTATCCCTATTGGTAATTGATTAAGTGGCTAATTTATTAGCTGCTGATGTCGTCTCTGCTGGTTACACATCACATCTTTTATATTTTTGGTGGGGAAGGACAAAAAGTAAAACGAAGAACTTAATCCACAATAAATGATTTTGTTGGAAGGATGAGGGGGGGAAAAACCCGTTTGGTAGAGGAAAGGTTCCCTATCAATCCTCATTTTGTAATGTCGTTTATGAGGTTTTCTCTGATTACTACCCATACCCCATCCCATCATAACCATCTAGCTAGACCTAGGTGGTTATAGTCTTGTAATTTATTGTTCATAGGTTTTATCCTACGTCTTTCTCTTACTTTGCAAAGTAAGGACTCCATAGTATTTTATTTCCTCAAAATCACATTTTCTTTCCATTCATGTTTATTCTTATATATCAAACAGGCAAAGAAAGGTCAAATGGCATTTGATTTAGGTCCTTGTGAACTGCCCATCAAAATTGCATGGCTCTTAAATTTGTGTAATCAACGGACTGTATTAGTAATAACTGCTATTTCTTACCAGACCTTCTGCTAGGATCTAAAGACGCTAGGCTTGTTATTCCAATAAGCAATGAGTTGATCTTTATTTTAATATCATCTTGTTACGTTATGGTTTGCAGGCTTTTTTGTACCAGAAGATTAGTGCAGCAGGTGTAACGTATATCAGTATTGGCCATAGGCAAACCTTGTGCGAGTATCACAACAGGATTTTACGCATATCCCCCATTGATCCTAACAGTGACAGGATAAATTGGTCTATTGAGTGCACTAGGGGCAAGTCTTCGGGTTTTCCAAAACTAAAATTGTAGGTGGCTTCAAACCCTATTTGCCTATGTTCATTGTAACATTTTTGTTTATTAATATATCTTCCATAAGGTTGTAAATCTGTAAATTTTTCTTTCCTGCAATATCTGCTGTACTACCTCCGGTAATGAGGTCTTATAATTAGGAGGAGGTAGTATTATTCAAGTTTCATAGTAAGATAGATAGGGATTATTAAGGAATTCTGAATGCGTTAATGTCAGGGTAACAATGAGGAAAATTTTTTCTTCTTAAACGCTGAAAATAAAATTATAATCACTGATTCATGAGAGCTAAAGATCTTAAAAATAAAATTTCTCTTTTGGATCATGTAAACAAATTATTATTAAGACTTCATTAAGTTGCCATTCATACTCCTTAAAGGTACAACTTGCTCCTTTTTTTTTTTTAAATGTTACAATATGCTTCTCAAGATTACCAGAAATGTTTCCCATCTTTCTGCTGTCACAAGGATGTCATGAGTTTATGGCTTCTTTGGCTGAAAATAACTTTATTAACATTTGGAAGGCTAGATTTAATTTTAAACATGAATGGCAACTATAAGAGACACTAGTTACGATTTTGTGATCATCGAGAGAAATTTGAGTTCATTAACGGTCATTGATACTGGTAAGGGATTTTTAGGTGCAATCTTCTATGTTCTTGCAGTTTTGGAAAAATTAACTGTTGTTTTGTGAGTTTTTCTGAATTCTGATCGAAGAGTGAAACTCTCAGCTATCATCGTGCTTGCTGCAATGTTTTTTTTTTAAAAAAAAAAAACTATTTCTAACAAATCTTGAGGAAAAACTTGGTTACTTTTTAACAACAATTATTTTAAATTGATAAATGTTTATATTCATATTGATCATACTAATTCCTTCTATAAGCTTTGGCGGTGGCTATACTCAATTGGAATATTTAACAATCTAAAATTAAGCAGTACTGGGATGGAGTTGTGAGAAATGATAACTCAATTAATAGTTCTCATTTAGATATTTCCCTCTTAAACTAAACCATGTAGCCTATTTTAAAAAAAACAAAAAGAACACAGTTTCCAATTGTTGACTAGACATGAATTTTGCATTTAATCTTGGAGTCTACTGGAAGAGGAAAAAGACGAAGGTATAAAGAGAGAAACAACCTAGCAGACAGAAAAAGTACGAATTTATCTGGTTTTTCAATCTTAGTAGTGCTGACACAATAACAGGTAGCAGCGGCTAAGAATATGTTTCATCATGCACGGAAGCTATCACTTCTGAATCTGAAAATAGCAAAACAACAATTTTGGCTCCATATTGATGCAAATCGAATCTCGGAGCCAATATCAAGTTTTCTGTTCAGATGCTTCAATTTTTAGATTTTTCCAATCATGCTTCTTTACTTTTTTTTTTTTTTTTTGGCTTCCTTTAGTTGAGATGATGTGTGTGTCTCTCTATATATATATATATTTTTTTTTTTTTTTGAGGAAAAGGCATTTCGTTTACTTGTTTTATATAAACACCCTGCAAGTTTCTCTTAGAGAATCCAACTCAACAGAAGCATGACATGTAAAATGCAGTTTTGCAGAGTTATTGTGTGTGAAAATCTGATAACAAATTGACTTAATTTATCCAACAATACAATTGAAAAAATCACAAGGCAAAGTGGCCTGTGCAAACCGAGTAACGAACGGCAAGATCCTGAGAACTCAGATATATCATTTCATTTTCCTTGTGAAAAAAATAGCATTAAACAGCAAAATCCAAATTTCATAGTTCTCACAACATTATATCTAGGACTGCGTACATTCTCTCTAAGGCCAACAATAGCCACTCAGAAAAGAAGACACTTTCAGTTGAAGGAGGAATTTTTACCTTCACCCGGTCAATTAAAGACTCCAAAGCTGTTAGAAAAACTCTGTTTCATGCTTTAGATAAAATCTCCTTGAGAGTTAAAACAACTAACCCCACTCAGTAACTGTACAGAGTAACCGAGGACAACCGGATTAACGTCCTACAGGTAAGAAGCGGCAAACACAGGACAATTACCAACTCCCATCGACGTATCTACCATTGCCGTTGGTATACACGCCGTTTAAGGCACCATTGGAAGGTTTTAACATGTTTCCGTTGTGAAGATTTGCTTTTGTCTTTGGTAAGTGTCCATTGCATACCCCATTAGATAACTTATGGACGAAACCATTTGTTGGCAGAACTGTTGTCCTCATTTCACACGCTGCAGCTATTAATCCTGTCGAAATGAAGTATTTAGTATATATTTCCGAAATGAAGAAAGAAAATTACTGGTGGATATGATATCTAGAAAATGGGAAAACGCCAATGAGCCGTTCAACCTCTCTGCATATCGGATGAAGTGAATCCCTTTATGTAAACTCGTGAAGAACACCAAAAAGATATGTACTAGGAGATACAAGGCCCCAAAAATGAAGCATTTAGAACATAAATTTTCACTCGTCCCCAAGAGAGTTTCTATCATGTCAATATGGCTCATGTTTCTTGGAACAAATTATTGAAAGAACCCATAAAAATCCCTTTTGATTAATCAAAACCCCTTCCTAAACTGTACGGGCTTCTTCCAAAGCGTGTGTGTGTGTATAATACAATGAAGCACTGCATGAATGGATATGTAGAAATCCAAATAGGCCGAATCACTCAAGTTATGATCTACATCCTAGGTCTTTTAAGCTATTATATCATTAGCATCTCAGTGTAACGCAAGAGATACGATTCCAAGGGCAAGATGCGCCACTGATAAACAAAAGAATGCCATGCATGCTTCGGATGCATATTATATGGAAGAAAACCATCATTATCGCCAAAAGAGTTCTAAAACAAATCAAAAGAGCAATGACAATTCTATCATCAATAGTATGATTATCAGAAATGCCTGTACAAACATAAACTGGATTACAGGTGTATTTCATAATTGCATAAAATATATCAGTAGAAGAGTATGGATAGTAAAAGATATATAATAAGTATGAAGCAGATACCTAGAAAGGGTGGAGAAGGTTTCCCTGGTCTAGACTTGAACTCAGGGTGAAACTGGACGCCAATGAAGAAAGGATGACTAGGCAGTTCAACTATCTGCAATTGTGGAATTCACATGAATAATTACTATGGCTGTAAATGATTAATTTTTGAGATAATCCTAATACATTTTCTTAGTGTTTCAAGTTAAAATATACCTCCATGCGCTTCCCGGTTTCATCTTTGCCAACAAAAGATAGACCAGCATTCTCTAGCTGTGATATCATGTCGGGATTAACCTGCACAGTGTGACAACTATTTTAGCTGAATCTTTTTTTCTTTGTGTATGCAAGTATTTTCTGCATGAAGACTTGTTTTACCTCATATCTGTGACGATGCCGCTCATCAATATAGCTCACATTGCCGTACCTATGAAAAAGTCCATAGTATAGTGTCAAACATAAATCTCAACTCTGATGTAATTGAGGAGAATCAGAAAAACCATCTTTAGTTGCGTCTTTTGTGATGCATGCAATGAAGAATTACTCTTGTTTTCTAAACACGGTAAATGTTTTCCAAGAAACTAATACCAAGTGTGACAGCACATCTCTAAGTGTGGTTAAGTGGTAATCCATTAGGAGATACAATGTATGATCACGTGAATTTAGATAAGCTTGAGTTCAGTTCTTAGTTCTTACAACTTCACAGATTTGCAGTTGGCAACTTGGAAGTAAGTCCTTCGTGAACCAAGACGCATAGTTCCTCCCATATAAGTCTTTGAACCCTGGCAATTAAAAAAATCCAGCTTAACAAAATTTTTAACAGGCTATTACCAACTCAGGTATGTGGGACAATATACCTCTGGCATAAATATGACACAAGGGCTCTTGGTTTCAGGATCAAACTCTGTACTAGTAGCATCATGCACACCCAAAACAGACCGTGCAAATTCGATGACAGCAATTTGCATCCCCAAGCAAATACCAAGAAATGGTACATTGTTTTCTCGAGCATACTTAGTAGCAAGAATTTTCCCCTGCACTCCTCTATCACCAAAACCTCCTGGAACTAGAATTCCATCAGCACCCTGCAATGAAATAACGTTCAGCTCACGCTTGAAAAGATAATCTCACATTTAAATACATTTAAACAGATACACATTATTAAGACCAAACAAAAAAATGGAACTGTAGATATGCAATCAACGTGGAGTCCAGCTAGTAGGAAGATGACCTTCAAAAGATCCCAAGCAGCTTTATATGCATCTGGAGTCTGCAAGCAGTAAACTAATCATTAGAGGTCTGGCATGGAGTAAAACAAAAGGTTAATTACAATCTGTGGACATGAAGGTCAGTAATCACCTCTTTAGAACTGACATCTTCAAGATCACCAGCTGGAACCCAGTCCACAACAAGTTTACGATTTTGGTCAACAGAAGCATGCAAAAGTGCCTGTACAGAAAAGGCAAGCACATTAAGGGTTACAATATGTAGGGGTTCAAAGTTGGAATACAGGAAGCCAATACTTTATACCATATAATTCATAATTGAACAACATTTTTTAGAGCTGAAGCACAAAAATGCCAGCCGCAGAAGATTGTAATTAACAGTACAACTAACAGATAATAATGTACCTTCAAAACAGAAAGATATGCATCTGAAAGGCCAGTATACTTTCCCACCATTGCAATTCTAACCTGTTAAGAGTATCATAGCCGTAAGCTCACTAACAGGCCATAGAGAGAAAATATATGTATTCTATTCATATATTGAAGGTGTGAGACCTACAGCTTCGCGCAATTTGGCATAAACTTTAGTCTTAGTGGTCCATTCCAGCATGTTAGGCTCTGTAGCATCACTGCAAACAGCAGGGACGTTATTAGAATGACAAAACATTAAAGCTAACTGCTGCAGCATATATTACTTAACATTGCCAGAGAATTGGTCCTTCACAACAGAAACTGAGGGGGAGGATTTATAAAATCAAATAAAGAATGAGTTTTTCAAACAAACCCTAGAAGGTTTAGTGCTTTCAAGATCGCTTCATGCGCGTTCTGATCCTGTTACAAAGATGGATAAAAAAAAAAATCAGGTTTGGCATGAGTTAAATCACTCACGGAAAGAAAATGAACAGGAAAAGTAAGTCAACTACATAGGGAGACAACAATAAACAGTTACACAAATGCCATTGGATTACTTACTTTCAATAGCAAAGGAATATGCCAAATATTTGGAACATCATGCAGGGTAACAATATTTGATAACTGCAAACACACAAGATTGATTATGAAAGATAAATGAGGCCGTGGTTTTTTTTTTTTTTTTTTTTGGGGGGGGTGTGGAGTAAGTAAATGTTAGTCATTACCGGCACATGGCAGAATTGAGAAAGTTTTGCTTTAACATTGTCCTCAAGTTCCTGTTATGGAAAATAAAATATAGAATATTTAAACCTTTGTTACATCAGAACCAATGGCAATATTAGAAATAAAAAATAAAAATAAAAAGAAGGGGCACACCTTTGAACTACGGCAAGCTAGAATATTAGGAGTCAATCCTAATCCCCTAAGTTGACGGACACTGTGCTGGGTTGGCTTTGTTTTCTGCACATTAAAGCTTGCAATAAGTAAAAGATATAAACTGATCAACTTCCACATCGTAGATGCATATGTTCAATCGATTACACTGTCTCTTTTTAGTGAAGGATAGATCAATAAACAAAAGTGAAATTTTTCTTACTTTGTCAAGTAGCCTAAATTTCTTTTCTAAATTACATTTATTTCTTACAAGCCTATATAATGTTGTCTCAACCATACTGATTATGCAATATACCTGTTCACCAACAACATTGAGAACAGGCACCAAGCTGACATGAACCAAACAAAAGTTTCCAGGGCCTGCATGAACAATAAAATCAGAGAAACTTATTAACTGGAGAACTGGAGTCCTACAGAAAATAAATGATTAACCCACAGGGTCTGAAGCATCAGAAACATTACCTACACGATACGAAAATTGGCCAAGTGCCTCAATAAAAGGCATGGATTCAATATCACCTACATTAAAAAGGATTCAAAATATAAGTAAAATAATTACAGAGCTTTCAAATTACCTAATAAATCATATAATTTCCACAAAATTTTCCTGATGAAAAGAAAAGCTGAATTTCTGCATTCACCTCACCCATGATATGATAAGATAATAAAACATGAAAATTTCTCATGGAATTATAATAGTTGGAAAAATTAATACTGCTTACTTGACCAATAGTCAGTTTTAAATGCCAATTTACCTATAGTTCCACCTAACTCAATGACACAGACATCAGCTGGTCCTTCTTTTCCATCAACTGGTGTCTTTGCTACACGCTCTATCCACTCTTGGATTGCATCTGTTATATGAGGAACAACCTACAAATTGACCAGAGGTGAATAAAAATCAAGAATTCATCGACCATACAGAGTGTCATGAAAAATAAAATATTACTAAGATCAACAAACCTGGACAGTCTTTCCAAGATAATCACCTCTTCTTTCCTTTTCGATAACAGACTATAGAAAAGGCAAAATAAAATGTTGTAAGACACCACATGTATGGTTAGTTGGAAAATCAACATACATTTCACAAACGAGATAGATACTTCAGTTACCTGGAAAATTTTTCCAGTAGTAATATTATTATCACGGGTTAGCTTTATGTCCAAAAAACGCTCATAGTTGCCAAGATCAAGGTCAACCTTCGAAACAAAAAGGAAAAAAATTAAAACTTTAAACTAACAAAAGAAAATAATATAGATGCCTCCGCTTGAATTACTCTAACCAGTCACATCTCAGGAACCAAATGATAAATATTTGGGTTAGCTTTCAAGTAAAATGAAAATACGATACTGGGATGGCGGATGCCATATAAATGAAAATTCACATGATAGATAATGATAGTACCATTTAAGATTTAAAAGCAATGATTACAATCATAAGCTAGAATTTGAATCTTGCAAAGGAAATAGCAATTTCTATCGACTGGTTTTTTTTTTATTTTTACCTCACCACCATCATCTAAGACAAACACCTCCCCATGTTCAAAAGGAGACATTGTTCCAGCATCAGTGTTTAGGTAGGGATCTGCAGGCAACAGATAAGCATAAATCTAATAAGAACAACTAAGAATAAATTACCATCAAAGAATAGTTTCATAAGGAAGACTGTGTTCCGATTAAACATGCGGGTGAAAACACACGGCCTAAAATTGGTACTGCCCTCTTGTTCAACAATAAAACTAGTTCTTCTAACTGGAACCAGACAATCTATTGTGTCAGCCATTCAAACGAATGACAATTTTATTAACTAACTGAAGTGACGTCGATATGGGGAAAAATGGATTCTTCCTCTGTTTTCTATGATCTTTTCCAATTATATCCTTCTTTGCTTATTTTTCACCTTAGAAAACATCATTGAGTAATAACAAAGCATAGTGAGATTTCTGTTCCAAAAAAAAAAAGGGGAAAAAGAAAAATAACACACGATTGTCAATAGTGCGTAGGCGTGCATGTGCTATTTTTCTTCTTCGTTTCTTTTGTCTTCCAGATTTAAAACCCTCTTGCTTTAGTTTTACCCCTTCACAAATAAAAATTATTAATACATATAGTGAGATTTCAATGGGAAGAAGAAGAGGAAGAAGAAGAATACCAGTCTTAATTAAAAAATACCAATCCAAAAACTCAAAATAAAGTAAAGTAGCATCCCCCCATATTTTTTCAACAGCTTTCTCCAGTTAAACCCCTCTTGCTTCACTTTTCTTTTCCTTCACAAGCACCATCCATTAATTTAAAAAAGTTAAGTTGAGACATGAGAGTTCAACGAAAAAAAGAAAATACCAATCTTAATAGAAGTGACCCGAAGACCACAGGCCTTAAGAAGGACTCCAATACTGCTAGCAGTAACTCCTTTCCCAAGTCCACTCACAACACCACCGGTCACCAACACGTACTTCATTCTTCTGCAAGAAACTAGCCTCTTCGCTGGTCCTGGTCAAAATGCACAGACGCAGGAGGAACTCCGGATATCAGAAATATGGAAAAACAAAGACAAAGCAAGCTTAACTGACAGAGGGACAGAAATCTTAGCAGTACCTACTCTAGTACTTATACTAGGTGAGACACACTAACCTTGGCTCTGAAAAAAACTAAGAATGATGACAGCAATACAACAAAAAAAATGTCTAGTGACGATATCTGGCATGAAAAAGAAGTGAGGGATGTGGATAAGAGGGAGGAGGATAGACAGGTGGAGGGAATGACTGACTATACATAGATATCATAACGAAAAAAGAAAATTACAAAAAACGAAAAAGAATGAGGAATTTTCGTGAGACTAAAAAAGGGAGAGAATAATGAGGAAAACCTTGTTCACAATGACGGGGTTTACAAGGTTCTTCTGTCACTGCTTTTCTGCAATCTCGCTATATCTCTATATCTCTCCCTTTATCTATGTGTGTATATGTATAGACGTCGAGGTTTCTGCTCTTTATAGCCCCCAAAACAAAGAGAGAAATATGACTCTGTTTGGGTTAACAATGACTCAATCAAGCAACGAATGGATAATATTGAGCGGATTAGGCAATATATATAAGAGAAAAAGCAGAAATTTTCTGATAAAGAAGATGTTTTTTGGCCCTATGAACCCAAAATGCCACCCTAAAACGCTGCCTCCCTCGTTCTTGTTTTCAGGCGGCGGTGAACAAGGCAGCTCCTTTCTTCCACCCTCCTAGTTCTTTTGTTTTCCTCCAACCACCCTTCAACTTAAAAAGGAAGCAAAACCTACAACAGCAAATTAATTAATAATTAATAATTAACTAATCGCAAATTATTCATTAGTTAGTTAATTAATTATCAAATTGAAAAATTGTATCAACCATAATTAATTTCTCTTGACTCTTTCTAGGGTTATCGATTTTTCTTTTTCCCCTGAAGATTATAATAAAAAAATTTAATCTTTTTTCAACCCAACACGAAAATTTCTGCTATCTTAAAACAGTAATAGCAGTGCTAGAAATTTTTGCTATAATATATTAGTTATTGTTAAATGAAAACTACTAGCAATCTTTACATGAGAGCCTTTTTTTTAAATCTAAACTAGTAGGACTTGAATCTGGACAATATTCTACACCTTAGGACCATCCAACAGAATATAGAAACGGAGTTATGCAATATAGGTATTTCAATGGTATCAGGGATGTTTGGGTAAAAACAAAATTATAGTTTTAAAAGTGTTTTTATGATATACTACCTCCGGTCCTTAATATAAGACTCTATTTGATTTTTATTTTGGTCCTAAATATAAGACCCCAATCTACTTTGTCTTTTATATTTATACATTTTTTTCCAAAGCAATCCTTCTAACAATGATAGTTCTAGTCAATATACTTGATTAATAAGGATATTTTAAAAAAGACAACACTTATTTAGGACAAGTAACTGACTCAACTTACTTCCTTAATCTCTTCAAATTAGTCAACTGGCTCTTATAATTAGGACCGGAGGTAGTACGAAGTAAATATGCGGAAGAGTTTGCCTTGATTTATAGAAAAGTGCTTTGAAAAATATTTTGGAATACCCAAACACCCCCGTAGTGTAATAAAAATAAAAACTTTTCTATGAGTGAGATCGGTAATATCAGATTATTATTGTCTGCCTCTTTGATTCAAAATACAAATATTCAAAATTCTAATATGAAATTAATAAACTTGAAAGAGTATAGTAAATAATAATAACTAATACAGATGTATATATAAAAATCATTTGTGTGATAATGTATTAAATACTGGACCTGCATTTTCAATATTGCTGAGGAGTTTTGTATCAGATTCTCTGAGATCTGCGCAGCATGGGGAAGAATCTATCTGGAATGGCATCCATGAAAGGCTCCTCTCAATCAGCAAGAATCAAATAAAAGGAGAGAAAAGAAAAGTGGTATGCTTGTTTCCACCATAGCCTCATTGATGCACGCCAGACAAATGTGTGCTTTAATAAAGAGCAGTAAAGAAATTACCCACAGAAACGACGCTGCTTTGACGCTCCTTCCTGCTCTTTCCCCGTGTTTTTTTGTCACTTTCATATGTTCATTGCACCCAGAATTTCAATTTTTAATTATTAATCGGATACTTAATGTAAGAGTTAATTTGAGTGTTAAATTTTGCGCTAAAATATAAAATCTTAATCTATTTTATTTATTATAATTATCATTTTTCCAAACTAACTTATATAACTTTCAAATTGACATATAATGTTATGTAGTTATATTTTAAAAAGATCATGTCACGTTTGTTATAATTAACTAATTTATCAAACTTTCTTAATCAGTCTAAATTAGTTTAGCAGCTCTTATATTAAATATCTGAAAAGTATTTGACATCTAATACTGTCGATCTTTGATATAAAAGTTAATTGGAGACTAGATTTGATCATAAAATAAAGCCTCAATAATTTTTTCTCAAATTTATCATGTTTTCTCTAAAATTCTCTATTAATTGTAAGGAGTTTTCACCAAGAGATAGCTCTAACATACAAGATTAAAAATGGCAGTTTAAAAAAATCAATATATATTTGTTATAACTAAATAACTTAACTAATTTTTTCAATCTTTTAAAATTAGTTATCTAGTTTTCACATTAAAGATAAGAGGTAATATTATAGGATTATATTCAACTATTGTAACTTGTTAAACTTAAGTAAGGATATTGCATTCACACCAACTCAACTATCATATGAATTCAGTGCCTTTGAAGCAAACGAAAATAAAAGATAAAAGGAAAAATTATACATGTTTTATAAGAAAAGTGCACTTCGTGCGCTGACCAAAAAACAAAAGTGCACTTTGTGCATCTCTCTCTTTTTTATCGCATATTCGATATCTGATGCCCCATGATGGGATTCATGAACTCAATATTTTGCATTTCTTCATTTTTTTTCTACTCTTTTAATTCTTAATATATGATCAATTTTACAATATAATTTTATATTACAAAGTAGCTCATATATTAAAAACCGGACTAAATATTTTTAAATAGTATGTTTACTATCAATTGCCACCATTTACAATTTTGCATTTTTATTTATATCCTGCTGCTTTTTATGGTTAGTTAAAAAAAACAAAAGAACGAATGAACATGGTGCATTAATCCACTTCCAACCATTTCCGAGTAGGGATATCAAGTCCAGGCATGGCATTTGAACTAATGAACTATATAAAAAATTTAAATACAAATCAATATTATTCCTATTATCCTAAATATAAGACCTCTTTTGTAGTATAAATTATACTCCAAAAGAGGTCTTATATTTAAGACCAAAAGAGTAGTATTTAACATAAAATTTGTAGAACATTAATAAGTCATCTTACTAATTAATTAAAACCAACTTTTTTTGTGCTGGTAAAAAAAAACCAGATTTTTGTCAATGATGTCGGAATTACTGAAAATAGCTAAAAAAATAACTACTATTATCTCAGTGGCTTCTGTTTTTGTAATTTTTTTATCTGGATCAGTCTAAACCTGATGCAGGTTTTCCATATTTTTTTAAAAAAGAAAAAAGATGAAGATTTGTTAATAAATAAGACAAGGGAAAAAAAAACATTAGTCCGGCTTGAAACGAGAAGCCAGGCATGCTTTATGGGTCAAGAAGACCACAGTTTTCCTGAGATTACGTTGATCTTGTTGCATATATTTTATATTATCCCTCAGGTTACATCTAATCCTATATTAATCTAATATAATTATCATTTGCCCCTCAAATATGATAATATTACTGTGAAGATAGATTTGATTTCACTTGCCTTTTTCTTAATATTTATATTCACATTTTGGTGGTTAGAAATTCGGAGGCATCAAAATCAAAGTGATGGAAGAAAAACACGAGATGGTCCCCATAAGGGCCATAGAAAGATAAATGGTAGGTACCAAGGGATAAAATTAAAATGACCATAAAACTTTATCCTGTCATAAATGAAAAAAAAAAGAAAAAAAAAACTTCCTCTGGTCTGATATTACCTCAATTCCACTACAAACTAAATCTTATATTTTAAATTAAAAATATATATTTATTGTTTTTAACTAATCTTAACTAATATTTTGATTTATGTTCTCCGTCCAATTCACAATATTAGTCACTTTAATTAATTTATTATGAAAAAATGATAGTTAACTCATTAAATTTATATGAAGTTGAAATTTTTATTTTTATTTTTAGCTTCACCTATATCAAACGAGGTCACGAAGAACAGAAAGAAATATAAGGAGTCACATTTAAGTTGCTTATATCGTAAATTAAATTTTTTTGTAAAAGTGACTTATACTACCTTTAGTCATTAATATAAAAACTAGTTGATTAATTTGAGTAGATTAAGAAAATTAGTTAAGTTAGTTATATATAATAAATATGTGTTGTCTTTTTTAAAATATCCTTATTAATCAAGTATATTAGTTAAAACTGCTATTATTACAAGGACTATCTTGAGAAGACTATATAAATATGAGAGATAAAGTGAATTCAGATCTTATATCTAAAATCAAAATAAAAATTAAACGAGCCGTTACATTAAAAATCAGGTAATATTATGACTTTGAGAAAGTAATTTGATCCGTTGTTGTTTATACACAGGACCGGAAAAACTAAAATAAGGTGGTCAATCCCAAGAAGGGTTTTGTCTTGTAATATGTATTGAAGATTCGTCTGTTAATCTCTCAATTTGTTTTATCGATGAGTCACATTTTGGGGCTAAGACAATCCACATGCAACTACTGCAATTTCTTGTGTTCTCTGCCTCTGACTCACATGTGAGTCTGCATTACGTTGATACTTTTTACCATCTTCCCTCCCTCTCTCACATTTCTTTAAATCTCAACTTGGCGCCTCCCTCCCTTACCCAATTAATTTTAACGATAAAAACGAGCATGTCTTTGTCTTTTCTCCTATTAACCTGCACGTGGGCCCACATATGACAACAAATGTTGGTAATGACTTGTATATGTACGCACATATATACACTCTTCATATGTGTGTTGATACCAAATGAAGTATAGAAATAAAAATCAAGGCATCATTACTGTTGTCATGGAGCCATCTGCTAGCAGAGTTCGCTCTTGAAGGAATATTTGGGAACACCCAGAACTGTTTCTGAAAAATATTTTTTTTACAAATCGAGATAAACGCCTCTACATGTTTACTTTGTATACTGTAAAATTACTTTTAAAATTATAATTTAGTTTTCATCCAAATACCCTATAATCGTAGAACTAGTCTAATCTTTTTAAACAAGTATTTTCATGCATTCTGCTTGTTATGAATTTACAACTCTAACCCTCTTGATGTAGTTTTAAGAACTATGCTGTCAGTCACTTGCATTCACAACAGATACATCTTCATTCCCACCTTCCAGCCATCTTTCTTTTAGCAAACATTATTTGGTAGGATATTTATCTCTTTTATCTGATTTCTCTTCTTAATTGTTGTGTTCATGTTGTTTGCTTGCCCACTTTTTCAACTCTAACGCCGCTGATATGTTGAAAAATGTAACTGTAATAGTAATAGGTTTTGTGATATATATTTTTTGGGTTATAAATATAAAATATTAATTTATTTTGTCTTTCAAATGTATAAATTTTTAAATTGTTCCTATTAATTGTATATTATAAGGGATATTCTTTTATCAAAAAAGTAGTTTCCAATATAAATAATTAGAAAAAGTAGTTAGTTTT